TTAGGTTTAGTACATAGCCATTGCTAATCATATTTAACAACCAGACCAACCAAATAACTCGACATTGGCGAATTTTTTTATATTATTGTCTTGCCTATCTTTCATAACCATTACCGTATTGCGCAGGATTAGTCTTCAATTTTTTTGGGTAAAGCATGTCCAAAACAAGAGAACTGACAATCTCGCATTTAAATAAATTCATACTATGAGCTGATTCACTACAAGTATTTCTCATTTTCTTTTCTGCCCTCCATACTTGACTATCAGACTGATTTAAATTAGGACAACACAACCGGGCCAGTTTTTTTCGAGCATCTCAATATTTTATTATTTTCCTCCCAAAACCACCCGAGGGCGGAAAAATATTTTTTTTTTAAAGGTTTTTTAAAAAAACTAGGCAATTACTACATTTTTGCAGAGAACCCCTTTAATTAATTAATAAATATTTATGTCTACGTTTTCAATTTGTTACTTTTACAAAAAATAAATAACTTTTCTTCTTATTATTCTTTTATATTTTCTCTAAACTTTCCAAAATATCAAGTAAGTTTTTTTGTACTGTACACATACAATAATTAATTTTCATTGTATTTTATTTTTCTAAACTTTTTTCATCCATGATAAAAGTGGTTTTTTGACTTTAGGACGTTCTTCACGTAGTGTTTGAGGGCAAGCTCAGAGAAATGACAGGAACGCCAATGTGTACAGTAGAGCTACTCACTCTTTTTCTTAAGTGGATGTACTCATATACATAATTTTATGCACACCTCATCCTCTCTTTCAAAATTCATTCAGAATTTAACTTGTGGGTCTATTTAAAAATTCGATAGATTTTTCTCAAAGTAATCTTTTGTACCCAAAAAATTAGGAGATTCCTAAAAATCATATAAATGACATTTGATGTAAATATTTATATAATGACATGTTAATGCCCATTTTTTTAAATGTGCTAAGTATAAAATAATAGTACAGGCAAACGAGCTGCAATGATCGTGGGTATTTTTTATGCTGTTTTAATATTCGTTTGATGTTTCAATAATATCTGTCAAAAACACCTATGTGTGATGAACGTCCTGAAGGGACATTTACTGGCATAAAGTTCTACCCCATTGAAAAAAACTATACTACAGGATGATTTCTTTAAATTTTCTATGTACAATTATATTTTGAGTATGAAATATGGGCAATAAATATGGGCAATAAAGTGTGGGATTGTAGATAATAGATGTGAGCGTGACGTTACAGATGTAATCAGCGTAGGCAGTAGAATGTTGTTCTAAAATTACCGAAAGATTTGACAAAAGTGCAAAGTTTTGAACTAGGTAGGCAATACATTATTTTTATCGTATTGTGCCGTTTTATATTGTTTATAATTATTAACTAATTAAATAATGATTAAAATCACACCCATAGGTATACTCATTCCCACAATAATCGCACTACCTTCGTACACAATATTGTTTTATAGAAGGTATTTTTATACTGAAAATTATATTTTTTGCCTGTTGATTTTATAGAAGTATAACTTCATACTTGGGTACCCAAGCACTCACTGTCTACTGGTTTTAATAACACTTAAGACCGAAATGAGATAATCAGCAAAAAAAAAAATTGTTTTATTAATATATAAAACGACTGTTTCAATAGTTTTTTATCATTACTGCATCACTTAGCTAGCAGTACATCTGATTTAGTTTTCTTGCCTGACAAGGATAGTGTTCAGGGATAAATGCCAGAGTATTTTTATCTATAATTCAAGCACACAAAAGTTGTTATCAACTATACAGAGTTTTAAATAGATGTTCCAGCAAGTGTTTATAGTCATGTTTGCCCATATTCACACTATAAGAAAGGTTTTACTGCATAACTTTTGGTTAGAATAACTGCGTGTGGCCTTATTCCATTTTAATTAAAGGTAGCAGGAGGTTGAAAAAGTGATTGCCAGATGACAATCGAATCACGATTGCTGAATCTACGAGCAGACAGTGACGTAGTCCTCGCTGATTAGAGATACCCACATATTGAAAAAGCGGTTCATTAAAGTGGAAACAAAGTACTGATTGTTATACTCCTATTTTTTTAAAGCATTAGAAAATCTACTAAAAAATGAGCCCATTTATGTATAGTATTGTCGAGATGAGGAGTCACGTTAAACGAATAATNTTTTATTAGTATCATAGATCCTTTATCGGGTATAATTGAATCATCTTTTCTCAACTTTTTCTTTTCAGTTTTGAATGCTAAAAATGATCCATTAGATTAGAGATACCCACATATTGAAAAAGCGGTTCATTAAAGTGGAAACAAAGTACTGATTGTTATACTCCTATTTTTTTAAAGCATTAGAAAATCTACTAAAAAATGAGCCCATTTATGTATAGTATTGTCGAGATGAGGAGTCACGTTAAACGAATAATGGAACTACTTCACACTTTTTATATCTTCCATTAAATTTCAACTTATTTATATAATTACATTAACAAATCGTACATATACGTTGCATCTTCGTTAATTTGTAACCAGCTATTATCAAAGACGATAAAATGAAAGTAATGGAGCTAACACGATACGTTATACGATTAAAGAAAAATTTGTAATTGATTGTCATAAAGAAAAGAAACCTTTAAATATTTTGTGTGTAACGCAGAAGTTCTCAATCATTTATTGACTTTATTTTCGATTATAGTTTTTTAAACAATATTAAAAGTTATCAACATTTTTTTTTTTTCAATTCACAGAAATTAAAAATTTTAATTCCAAGCCTTTTTTTTGCGATTTCATTTTAAACTGTAGGTATTTCTACTATATAAGTATTCGCTGAATATTTCAAAGCTAGTAGGTAGAGTTTAACACCAAAAGTTTCGATATAAAAGTGTTGTTTTGTTAAAAAAAATGTTATCTCTATGCACTGCATGAACAGAACTACCTAAAGGAACTAGTAAATAAATGAGCAAATTGCATACAGTCAAACCGCATACATATATTAATAGTTTGGTCTGTATGACATACACATGACTTATTTTAAGGAGAAATTGACCATTTTCAAAATATAAATAACATATATTGTACACTTGTAATGCTTTTTCAAACATCGATTTTGCAGAGCATGTAACAGGACACTTTTTTTCAACGATTCTTGTTACAAAAAAATCATAACAGACAAGTCTATTAGGTTTAGTACATAGCCATTGCTAATCATATTTAACAACCAGACCAACCAAATAACTCGACATTGGCGAATTTTTTTATATTATTGTCTTGCCTATCTTTCATAACCATTACCGTATTGCGCAGGATTAGTCTTCAATTTTTTTGGGTAAAGCATGTCCAAAACAAGAGAACTGACAATCTCGCATTTAAATAAATTCATACTATGAGCTGATTCACTACAAGTATTTCTCATTTTCTTTTCTGCCCTCCATACTTGACTATCAGACTGATTTAAATTAGGACAACACAACCGGGCCAGTTTTTTTCGAGCATCTCAATATTTTATTATTTTCATTAAAAAAAGCAGCAGTTCTTTATAAATAGTAATTGAACTTCTTTATGACTAATGATAATCAGAATAAATAAATACATTTATAATATGTGCCTTACACCTGTTTAATTTTGGAGTTGTTCCCATATACTTTTTTTTCTTGTTTTTTCGTTTTTTTTTTTTTCTTTTATACTTTTGTTGCCTTCCCTTCAAATTTTCCACAGAACTGATTGTTGCTTGAGATCACTAACATTCACACAGGTTGGTTGTATTTCGAGAGCCTAAACAGTTGGAGGAGAAAGCATTTGAAAAAAAACTTCCTGTACGATATTCTTCCTTTGCAAGCTATCAAGCTGTTCTCTTTCACCACTTATATTCTTTGTTCTCAGTCTTTACTAAACTCTCGTTGAGATTGTTAAAATAAATTATAGTATCGGCATGTTTACATTTATTACATAGATTATAAACACAGTCAGATAAATCATTTTTGTTGACTTTATTTTTGCTTGGCTAGAACCAAAAATTTTTTTTCTTAGTGTATACAAATAACAGTAATTCATTAAATCTTATAACAGTTATTACCTTTAAGAAAACATTACGAGAAGAGAAAAAGAAGCTGATGCCTGCCTAATTACAATTTTAATAACTATACAGTAGTTTGGCTTTTTTATTTCCGGCATATTGTAAACATGTTTAGCTTCAAAAAACTTTCTTCCTTCGATTTGAGTCCACGATTAAAAATCAATTTTGTGACTGATGATCTTAAACCCAGATTTTGAATGATGTTGATTTTAACATCTTACATCCCACCTGAATTTTTCGTTAAAAATAATCTCTGAGTCCGAAACTAATAGCTGTCTTTTATGAATTATTTGAAACATATCATCTGCTTAAGATCATATACTTAGTTTTATAGTCAATCAATCTCACTTTTATCTAAAAATTTTTAGTTATAGTACTAAATTTAAGAAAATAACAATTTACTTACAAACTTATTAAAAGGCACAGTAACGTACTTTCAAAATGTCAGATTTGACCATGACTGAAGGGTGCTGTAGTAATTCTCAGAACAAATAGAGCATGCACAGTTAGAGAGGTCGTAAAATATCAGATCACTAATCCTAGAAAAATAAGATTAGCATTTCTTGTTGACCAAGCTTTTGGACAACTGTGTTAGAAGTACGTTTTTTTTAAAGATTTTTTCTGCAAATTATAATAAAACAAGACTTATGTCAAATAGCTTTGACACATGTACTGGCTGCTAAAATATTTACTATTTTTTGTTGATTTAGTTTAGCTGAAAGACGAACTAAGATGTAAACAGTATCACGAAGCTATGCAAAGTCTGCTACTCCAACTTGCATGTGCCAGAACCGTGGCATTTTTTTTTTATCATGATTGTTCTCGTATATTCATCAATAGTTGTGTACGCTAGGTAGTTGTTAAAATATAAAGAAAATAGATTTGTTTTTTACGATTAGTATCCAGGTTATAATAAACTGTTATTATTTTTTACTAGATTAAGCAAGTAAAACTGCAATGGAATGCAAAACCTAAAATTGGATCGCTAAATAACTCTACATACAAACCTGGTGGTGGTAATAAAAAAATTGAAATAGTTAAATTGGACTTTAGAGAAAAAGCAAAACCGAAAGTAGGATCCAAGAAAAATACTGAATACGTGCCTAGTGGTGGGTTAGTAAAGGTAAGACTTTTAAGCATCAGCTGTGTGCTTTTTTTATATTGTATAAAATGACATTCCATCTTTTCATATTGATGAACACTTAATTAAGTGTGTATTAAGTGGAGATTTAGTGTACACTTACGAAAGTAATAGTTTCCTACACTTATTTTAATTTTCAGTAAGCCAGAAGTTATGTCTACGTTTTATACTTATAAATATTCTAGATTATTAGACAGCAAACGAATTAAACTGTATAAATTTCTTGAGAGGTTGTTCCTATGAGCAGTTGTACATACATGCACATCATCTAATTCTTAATTAATATCATGAAAAGATGTTTGACTTGCACTATTAGCTATTTTTAGAAAAAAACATCATCAGAAATGAAGAGAGTATAAATTAATATTTTTAACTTGTTTGTTTTAATATTACTAAAGATAACAGTTAATAATTAAAAAAATTTGGGCACTTTCAAAATTATAAAGTTTATTCCTAGTTATGTAAAATAGTTAGTACAAGCACCGTAATAGTATATTTTCTGAAAATAGCTCTTAAAATATTTTCAAACCGCAAATCTTTAACAAACACGCAAGATTTTCTTTTGTTAAACAGTAATAAATTCGTATTAAATGAATTGTAATTTCTACATGTAGAATAAAATATGGTAAGCAAGTTATAGTGGTTTTACAGTAACTCTAGCATTAGCGCTAAAGTAGTGGTAGGGAGAAAGCGATACTAATCCAATGGCAAAGGAGAATCTCTGTATTACAACACAAGCTACTGACTCCTACAATAGTAAATCGGCTCAAAGCATTATCTTTCTGTCTCTTTGTTTATCCTTCTCTCCCTCTTGCTCTCACAGTACTTACCTTTTTACTATTCCTGTTATAAAATTAGCTTTTGAACCATTAAAATTTTTGGAAATAGATAGTAGGTCGATAAAACTACCGCTTGTTTTTTATAATTTTATTGAATTTTNAAAAAAAAAAAAAAAATTGAATACAAAAATTACATAATTTTAAATTGAAAACAATAAGTTTTTCTCATTCAAAATCAACCCTGTGGTTTTTATGCAAGTTTCAAACTACCATAATGAGGCCTGATTTTTTCTAGTCTTCAACTTCTGTTCTCATTAATATTAACAGCTTACATTTATGTATAGTATAGGTATTGTACCCCTAGAAAAAGCCTTTCAATTGCATTGTGACCTTTTAACTTTACATCTTTCACAGCGATAAATAATTATTACTTTTTAAGTGCTCAACGATTAACAGGATTAAAAATATGAGCAGAGCACTATTTATAGTTCAAAATTGTAATATGCAGTTATTCTAAGCTTTAAAAACAGAGTAATAAACTTACTTACATTAATTTTAACCAACTGATAAGCAAGATTATGTTATACTATAAAAAATGAGCTTTAATCAATAGAGGCATACTATTAACATTATCATTTTTCAGTCTCAGCTGAGTCAGAATACAGTAAACATAAGCTTTGTTCAACAGGGTATTAAGCTTTTCAAAGTGAATTATGACGAAAGTTAGGTATTTTTTAATTTAAAGACCATAAATCAGTTACATCTTCATTTAAGGCACGACTTAACTCTATACTGGTTTTTGAAGACATTGTCTGTGAAAACAAGAGAGTGTAAAAGAATGTTTTCTCATGAGACATCTTGAAAGCATTGACTGCTTCTATTAATGCCAATTGTATGTTCAAGTTTCAGAGCACTTAATCAGAGATAATTTAAACTTCTGGGCGATAGTTCAAAAAGATGATATAGATTTTAAATACATTTGCAATGATCATGTCAATAATGGCATGATGTATAATAATTAAAATAAATTATGTGTTAACTGTTAAGGAGTTACAAAACATGATTTTAATATGAAAGGTAAGAACAGAAATGTCATTAATAATAATATAGGAGAGGATTTGCTTTCTTTGCTCATAATACTACTTGTGCTTATGAAGTATGCATTAGTATTTTGTTAATTATCAAGTGGTCATCATAAACGCTTCTCGTAAGGAAGAAGATGTTTTTCGGAAAGTTAAAAAATCTGGAGAAATAGTAAAACTTAATTGTTGATTGTCTAAGTTTATAATAGAAACTTTTGAAAAACAGATTAGGAAGACTTTTAATTATAATATTGATACGTTTTAAAGAATATTAATAATATGAGAACTAAAAATAGGCCACTTACCTCTAAATCTTAACAAAAAAATTTCGGGAATCTTTTAAGCTAAGAAGTAATAATATCACTACATCAATGATTCAATCAGCTAAAAGTAAACCTGATGATGAAGCAAATACTTTTTATCAAATGATACCATCGATAAAAAGTGACGATGACGATTTAGTTTATATAACCAAAAAAAAAATCAATTAAAAATATATATTTATAAAGACTTGGTTAAAAAAATCTGGAACTAGTGACTCACTCTGATTAGTCTAGATTTAGTGAGTTTATTTAATAATACTAGTGAAGCTTTAATTATAAATGCAATAAAATACTTTTGAAAATTCTTGAATGGTAAGACCAATGTTTTTCTCAATTTATTTTGCACTGGTGTATCTTTAATGTTTCATTCAACTTTTTTCCATTTCAACAACAAACTTTATAGACAAGTTTTTAGCTCTCTAATAGGCAGTTCCTGTAGTCCAGTGCTGTGTGATCTTATAATGCATTTGGTTGAAATTTCATGCTTAGAGAAGTAATGTCTTGATGTTCCACTGTATGTGTGGTATACAGATGATATTCTAATACGTGTGCCAACTAAACGTATTAACTATACTCAAAACATCTCTAATAGCTATTATCTGTAATTACAATTGACTGTTGAGACATGCAACAACAACAGCATTAGTTTCTTAGATTTAATAATTATCATTCAACAAACTAACACAGTGCTAACTCATTGGTACAAAACTTACACATTTAGACCGATACTTGAATTTTCTCTCTCACCATCCAATACAATATAAAATAGGTATGACTTACACATTAGTAGAATTTTTCATTAAATAAGCTGACACTCAATTTCATAACGATAATTTAAAATTTATCAATAAATTTCTACTAGATAAAACCTATCCTCAAAAATTATGTTATTTATCATATACCATGTGCGAATTGCAACTGCTGTTATGTCGGTCGAACATCGACAGCTGTTAAATTGAGAATAGCAGAACATAAAAGAGACATAGAGAAAAAAAAACATGTGTACTATCTCAACATAGCATTGAATTTACACACAACTTTAATTTTGCTAAAATACAAATTTTAGAAACAGAACAAAACAGCAAAAAGCGCCTTTTTCCCAAAATGTTCAATGTGTATTACTTTAAAAATAATATTAATAGACAACAAGATACAGAAAAATTGAAAAACTGTTATGAGTCTCTCGTTAAGTCAATTCAGAAAAGAGACTAACTTGATGTACATGATTTGAGGGCCCCTTTCATTTATGGTATTAGAAAAATATGATTTGTTTATGTATGTCTCACAAGGAACTGCTTGCGATTCTTATTCGATTGTATTATGTGCGCATACTATGTCATTTGTGTATGTGCAGGGAATAAAAGCAACTAAACGTGAAACTCTGACTATATTACGATCTTACATCCTTTTCGTAAGAGTCAGAGGTATATTATACACTTCACTTAATTTGCGTTTATCGTATTTACAAAAATTAGTATTGTAAAGAATTTTTTCATTACTCATAGATTTTGGTACCTGATGAAAGCTGGAACATTGTCCAAATGACTGAAACGTCATTTTGTTTTTTAATGAATACAAAATTTGATGGTACCACCATTGGACACTATTTTAATTACTAACTAACTGTCATTAGACGTCTTATTTTACAATACCTATACTGTTGAACACGTTCTTCGTTGAGGACGAAATCAAATATTCATTAAGGGGTTCAAGGTACGCAGGAGTTTGAGCCCAGCAAGTTTGCGTACACACACACATATGCAAACACATTCAGACTCAAATAAATTTTTTTACCTTAGCTAATCGTGTTATCCAACATAAGTAGTCCTTATTTGAGGACTATAAAAATCTTCAATATCTCTTATTCCAATGTTAACAATAATTTCAAAAACTTTTTGCCTATTGATTGCATGTCAGTTTGTTATTGAAAAATATTGAAATGCGCTCAATAATTTAATAACATATTTGTTGTATATACTATCATACTACTTTTGTTGCTATTCATTATTATTACTTAAAATTGGTGAAAATCTCCACTTAAAATTAACAATTTATTCCTTGATGGTATCTTATTATGATTCACAACTTGAAAAAATCTATTGAAAATTTCTACTTCTTTTATTAGTATCATAGATCCTTTATCGGGTATAATTGAATCATCTTTTCTCAACTTTTTCTTTTCAGTTTTGAATGCTAAAAATGATCCATTAGGGCAAATAGTCAAATTAATTCTGGAGTCCCCAAGGCATATACTTAAACTAGTTCTTCGGAAAAAAATGTATACATATAAACTGGTGTGGTTTCTCCCTCTCGAGTGCTTCTTGTACCAATCCCTTCAATGCATTATTATCCTTTACATTAGCTTTGAGATAGGTGGTAAAAGATCTTGAGCTTAAAAAATGTCTTTCAATTGAGAAACATGAATGGTTGAAGTAATTATTGTTGTAACAAAGATACAAAAAAGGTTTTCTACATAAGAAAAGTATAATTGTAATAAAAAAATCAGCTTCAGTTTATCTGTGGTACACAATGAAGAACGGTTTAGAATAGAAATAAATAAAATGTTATTATTTAACTTAATAAAAAAAATCCTATCATAGTACTGGAGATATTTCGACAGTAAGTGAGGTACGCATTGACACTTAATATTTTGTTCTGTTGTAGATAAAATTATTAATTGAAAGATAAGTGGTTCTTCGTTTTGTATAGTGTATATGGCAGCTCGTAGTGCTTGTATATTTTCGCGTTTGCGTGGCCTGATACTTTTTTTATAGAAAACCCTGCTAAGTCGGCCAATT